AGCTAAGCTAACACGGGAGGGGGATGTCAGTTGGGGTGTGGGGCCCCTTTTTTTTTTTTTTTTTTTTTTTAGTGAACTGAAATTCCACATCACATCTGCATGTTACGGTTGCCAAAGTCAAGCTAGCACAACTGAACTACTTCCCTCTCCTTCGCTATTTTTTTCTTAATTAAAACTTTTTCCTGACCTTATTTAGTTGTAGTGTTGACAATTAGTAGCAAAGCTCTGCGTCCTTTTTCTTTTATATAGCTGGCGTACATATTATGTTATGTTGATCACTTAACAGCTAAAACTAATGATGGTCATCATCTGTCAACAGCTTTTTACATTCCAGCAGGAAGATATGGGGCACGTGTCTATTCATACTGAGCATTTTTTCTTGACTTCCACACATTTCAGTGCATTTATCCCTAAACCAGACATTTCCTTAACTATTACTAGTCTATTTCTTACCTGAATCTTAACCAGAACTGAACTCTCACCAAATATCTAAATCTAACCAGTGGAGCTAAGAAAAAAGTGAGGACCTAGAAAACGTCCTCACATCCACAAATGACCTCCCTTCACTGGAGAACGCTGTGATAAAGGTCCTCAATATGTGCTATAAACAAGTACGCAGGCACTCACACACACACACACACACAGAAGCTCGTCACATCAGTCAGGATCCTTCCTTGGTTCCTTCCTTCATTTCAGGGTTTCACACACACACACACACACACACACACACACACCTTTTTAAGTCAGTCAGGAAGCTTACTGATGTCACTTCCTGTCTCTGCAGCCTCCACTCTCAGCTCAGCGACAGTTTCCGGGCCGACCGTTTTCGCGGTTCGCCTGGAGTGTTGGGGTCCTCAGCCTCGCTGAGCGGCAGCCTCCCTCGGCAGACTCCGCCCCCGGGTCCCCTCAGCAGACCGCCCAGAGACCCCGCCGCCCCCTCTGCCAGCTTCCAGGGCCTTTATGGCCCCGCCCACCTCCAGAGTCCCGCCCACCATCAGAGCCCGAGCCCCCAGGCGCCTCGGTACCACCCGGAGCGGGAGGCAGTCCGGCGCGGCAGCTTTGTGGAGCGCTGCCAGGAGCTGGCCAAGGGCCCCGAGGCGGCGGCCAGCTCGGCCTTCGGCACGCCGCCGTGGTCGGAGGGCATGAGGCGCAGCGTGGCGGTCTGCAGCGAGCTGGAGGCCAGGTTCAGCTTGCGGACCCCCACCAGCTTCACTGTGTCCCCCGGAGCCCGCTACACCCCAGGGACGCCGTCCTCCATGTCTGCCTCCCCTCTGTCCTCTTCCTCGCACCGCAGGGCCACGCCCACCTCACCCACAAGCCCCGCCTCCTCCATGCCCAGTGCAAGCCGCTCCTTGACCCCTGCATCGCCTCGCCGTGGCGCTGCAGCATCGCCTGCTGAGGCGGCGGCGACACCAGAGAGTTCAGCGAGTCCAGAGGGAACCGGAGTGGCGGCGCCATCCAGCCCCAAACCACACATGAACGAGACCAGCTTCTGATTGGCCGACCAGACTGGCTTCTGATTGGTTGACCAAATTGAGATGTTCAGATTCCCTTAAACCTCTGGATCAACTGCTTTTCTCCAGCAGGTGGCACTACGGAGCTGGGAATGAACTCTGCAGCTGGAATTCTCCAGAACCAAACCCGGTCCTGAGATCAGGATGAAGGTTTTTCTTCACTGCATTAATTAATTTCACTCAGAACCTGAGGGAAAACGCTGACCCAACCGGACTGGACTCGGCTGATGGTGTTTGTGACGTTTTCTAACGTTTATATCCGACAGTTTTCTGCTTCGGTTTCTACAGAAGATTTATTTTTATCATTTCTACCCGAAGTTTGATTTAAAGCCTGCAGGGGGCAGCGGCGGGTCCTGTCAGATTCTCTGCCACCATCAGTTTCCAACAAAAGAAAAACATCCTCTGTTTAAGCTCTGAAGTATTTATTCTGAAGGTTTTCTGTAATGCTGAAGCTGATGTTTATTTGGATGTTTTGTCTCTGCAGTTCAGCAGGTTTATGTGAAGAAAGACACTCTGTATGCAAGAAGTACTTCAGTACAACATAAATATACTTTTCTGTATTTCTGCCACTTTAACTTCCCTCTCTGGCGCTTTTATCCAAATACTTTCAGTTCAGCAGCTGATTGAATAACCAACGGTTATTAAAGAGGAGACGCTGGTTTGGCACAGAGGGATTTCAGTGCATTGCTGCCGAAGTCGTTTTTATGTTCAGTCTAAAATCACAAACTGTTTAAAAACAGAGAAGGAAAGAAAGCGAGAACATGGCTGACGGAGCAGAGAGACCTAACAGACCGGCGTTTGTGGAAGCATTTAAAACCTCAGTGGAGAGAGTTCAGTCGGAGGTAGAGGGAAGAGAAACACTGTTACCAGCTGCCGTTACACTGTTATTAATTTAGCTCAGACACTGAGGGACAAAAATGATCCAGCCTCTGCTACTTATCTAATGAACTTTATGCTCACAAACAACACCCTGAACCGCCCAATTTCAATCTTTTCATGCAAGAAAAATCTGACTTTTTGCGTGTAACTAAATCGGATGCATATCCGATAGTTTCCCAGCATCTACAGTCTGAACGGTCATCTCGCATTTTATCCGACTTCCACTTCACTGAAGTGGGACGTGTCTTAGTTCTGCTCCAGACGTGGTAAATGTTCCTTCGTCTGGTTCTGATCTGTTCTCCGTGCTGTTTAAAATCTGTCCATGGATGCGTCGGCCATCTTTCCAGCTGTAAACAGATCTCCGAGTGGCAACTGCGGTCTTCTTCTGCACATGCGGGTCGCTTTGACTAAACCGTTCAGACAGAAGTCTGACTGCAGGCGCATTTAATTTTAGCATGAACGATTATGCAAGACAAAAAAAGTTGGATTTCAACAGAAATAGAACAAAATATGAAGACCTGCTGTGTGAACGAAGCTTTACTTCGCCCATATTTCCTGCTTAGGGGATGCTAGTAACGAATAATCAGACAATTACAACTTATTCCTCCTAAATTTTCAGTGAAATAATCACATTCTAGCTGCTAATTGTCCATATATGGTCATGCCTTCCTGTTTTAACAGGCTTGAGAGAGAAAATAATTGATTTCTGGAAAAATTGTTTAAATTTTTTATTGTGGTTGTTGGCATTAAACTTTTGGTTTTCATTCTTCCTGCTGTATTTAAATCTCAATGTGTTGCCTTTGCTGCCACCTTGTGGCCTGAGGGGGAGCTGCATTGATTCGTTTAGAATTTTTTAATGAGGTGTGAAACTTCAGAAAACCGTCCTGAACCAGAACCGTTGGTCCGAACCAGTTCAGTGACCTCTAAATTAAAATTAATGTTTGTTGTATAAAGTCTAATAAAAAACAAACATTTTGATCTAATAAAATTTCCTCTCCTTTCATATTAAAATAAAAATTTATGTTAAAACCACAGCACAATCTTTTCTGACGTCCCGTTTCCCAAAGCCTTTGAACGCATCACTTCTGTGACGTTTGAACCTTTTTGTGATTGTGAAACGGTTCGTATTAAACAACAGATTTTGTTGTAAAAGTTTTGGATTTATTTCACCTGAGAAAACGGGAGCAGCTGAGGAAAAACTTTACACAGAAATAACAAAAATACATGAAAACTTAAACACAGGAAATATGATGACGCTCCCTCAGTCCCTGAGAGATAAACATCCATAGAGGGGGCGGGGCTTACACAGGAAGTCCTGATATCTGATGCCGATAGTTTGTTGATTAAAACTGGATATTTTATTCCCATTTTGCAAAACTCACAGCAGAGAAATCCAGTTTTTGTCTGCTGGTTTCTTACAGTTTGGTCATGTTCTGCCTTTCTTCCTTAAGTTGTCATCTGACCTGGATGATCTCGCTAATGACGGCAGGACAGAACCAGAATGGTTTGTGAAGAGAAGCTGCTCAGCTCTTGGCGTTCAGCATCTCCAGCAGCAGTTTGTGGATGGGGACGCGGTGCTGGCGGTGCAGCCGCCGGAAGGCCTCCGCGGCGCGGGCGGCGCTCTGCCGCAGCAGCGGGAGGCTCATCAGCAGCCGGCCCGCCCGGTGCGGCTCCCCGCGGGAACACTCGTAATCCTGCAGCGCCTCCTGGAGGCCGTCCTGGAGCCGCTGCAGCGAGTCTGGAGAGTCTGGCAACTCGGCATCTGAGGGCAGAGGTCAGAGGTCAGTTACTGCACAAACCCAACAAATTAAGGCGAGGCAAACAGGGGAGCCACTGCTGCTGTGAGAGCTACAGAGAGCCAGCTGATCGTGATCATCAGTTATTGATTGGCGCCTCGCTGCGGGTTAATCCGTCCTGCTGTGGCCCCTCACTGTGGCCCCCAGCCGCGCTTCCCTCTCATTTAAATCAATTCATGGTAACGTTCACCGCTCATTAGATACACCACCGCCTCCTGCTGGTCATGGGGTGTTACTGCAATCTGATCACAAAACAGCTTTTTTATGAACATATCCCTGTTAATAGTGGCCATTTCTTTATCAAGTCAAAGTTTATTTATACAGCACATTCACAACAAGCTCAGCTGACCCAAAGTATTCGGCCAGCTCAGGCTGCCAGTCAGCGTAGTAACTCTGATGAACGTTATGTTAACTGAACTCTTCAGTTTTCATCTGTTGTTCAGGTCAGAGTTGCCGGCGCAAAATGCAACATTGATTCCTGTAAAATAAACGTTTCCTCCGCAGCATGTTGCCATCGATGCGCGGAGCGGCCATATTGGATCTCAGAAAAATTCCAAAAGAATCTGCTGAGTCATGAAATAAGTCAGCAGATCCAGGAAATGCTGAGTCACTGGTTGCTATGGTGACTCGGAGGGAAGTGAGAAACGGAAACGAATGAATGCTGTTAAAGTCCAGTTTGCTTTGATTGATGGTTCTGCTGGTTGTTTCACTGGGATCCAGTTATTATGGAAACATTTTGTTCTGTAACTTTGTTTGGAAAACTTCGTTTCCACTACAGAGTTGCTTCCAGGTAGGATTGGTTCTGTTCATATCGAAGCACTACCAGGTTGTGCTTCTGGTTCTGATGTTCTGGTTCTAATACCGACTCGTCTTGAACGTCTTTTAAGTATCTGAAACCTTCTGGGATCCCCAGGAATCTGCAGGTGATTTTTCTGCCTGTAGGTGGCAGCAGAGAGGCTAGTTTCTGCTCAACAGCTTGAATTTTGTCCCTTTTCCTGCACTGTAGCTGTTCAGTGTTCAACCTTCGTTGAGTCAGGCAGGTCACCATGTTAGTGATGTGTTCCACCATTAGAAGTGTTTCAGGTCATTAGATCAACTCTCAGTGTTTCTGCAGAGCCTAATGGCAGCATCATGCCATCTGAATGTTTGTACCTGAGTTGGTGAGCGCCATGGCCTTCAGCATCACCGCCTCCTCTGGGCTCATCTTCATCGCCCGGTACCTGGCCGCCAGGTGGCGCACTTCCTGGTACACACCAGCCAGGCCGGCGGCCCGGCACTGAGCCTCGTCCAGGCGCAGGTTCCCCGCAAACACAAGCTCCTCCCCCGCCCTGCCCTGTGAGCGCCAGGCCACGCCCACCAGCAGCGCCTCCATCCAGCCACTCTGCAGCAGCGACATCTGCTCCACCAATGAGAGCTCAGAGAAACCTGGCAGGGAGTGAGAGCGGAGCAGCGAGGCATCAGACGGATCAGTTTGAGACGCTGGTCTTCCAGAATTTAATCTCTTCTACCGGAAGCCACCTTGGTTGTTCAGTAATGTCAAACTGTTTTAGGACCCTGTTTACCTGGGATCTGCTTGGCCCAGCCAATCAGAACCAGCAGCTCCCGGTTCAGAAGGTCACAGAGGGTCAGGAGGGTCCGCAGGCTGCCGTCGTCGGTCGAGTCGTCCTGATTGGCTGCCAGCGGGGCGGGCTCTGTCAGCAGCAAATGGGAGATCAGCTTGTTCCCTGAAACAGACGGATGGGACCGTCAGACTGGGAAGTCTGGGTGGACTGGGAGCCTTCAGAGGGAACGTCGGGGAACTCACTAGAGCCGAGCGCCAGGCTGAACGGAGCTTTACCGCCTGTCTCCACCCGCCTCCGGTACTTCTGCCGGCCTCCTCTGACCCGGTCCAAACGCACCCCTGAACACACAAACACTGTTTGAGAACTCCAGTTCCTGATGTGAAAAACTCGGATCTTGGATTGATTTGTTCTGCTCCGAGCCGCAGGTTTATCAGGCTGTTTGTCTCCTTATTAACATTTTAATTTGTCCTTCCACAGATGTTTCTTTTCAGTCCCATTAAAGTTTCCTAAAAGCTGCTCTTTTAACAGGATGTAAACTTTGACCTTAAAGCCTGAATTTAGATTCAGTTGTACAGAAATAGTTTTTTTTTCTGTCAGCTAGATGTTAAATTAATCAGAGGATGTACATTTGAAAGTTGTGTTGACAGTTAGTGAAAGCTGAGGTATGATGCTAATTAGCAACGCCAGGCACTTAAGGAAAACTCTTTATCTTAATATGTTTGCTTTAATGCTGCTGCTTGTGGTCAAACAGGCCTTTGAATCTGAATAAACTGGTTTCTGAGCAGCTTTTTCATCATCACCGTGTTTGGATGCAGCTGACTGGGGGAAATCAGCTGAAGAAACATTTAGAAAATGAATTTTTATTACACAACACTTTCAGTTTATCAGTCAGATTAAAAGCGTATGGATCTAAGAACTGGGTGCAATTCACACTCCGACCACTAGCTGGTACCAAAGCCTTTCTAATATTATCCTTGAGCCCGACTATCAAGCGGCTGAACCGGGTCCCATCCTACCTTCCCGCATCATCCCGGCCTGCAGACACTTCTGGAAGCGGCACGCCTGGCAGGCTTTCCTCCTCCGCTTTGTGATCTCACACTCGTTCGTCACCGGGCAGCTGTACTCGATGTTGCCTTGGTAACCAGAAAACAGGAAACGCGTCAGCAGCAAACAAAAAGATGCTCCTGTTTTTCTGATGGGTGTTGAGTTTTTACCAGTGATCCAATTGAGCCAGTGGAAATCTTAGCTGATTTTATTTTTTATTACTGTTTAGGTATTTATTGGGCTCTACTGCATTTCTTTATTGAGGAAGGTTTCTGTACGGTTTGACTGAAACCATTTTTAAAGGGGACGGTGGTTTTTCTGTAACTAGAGAGGATCAGATATTGTTTAAAATATTTTCATTTAACTCACTGTTTTTCTGTCAAAGAAATTTTTTACAGTAGTCGGCATAAAAAAGGTTTTCTACTAAGGAGAAAAAAAAGTTTTATTTTTTTCCCAAAAATCTTGAAATTTATAGGACACCAGAGGTGCCTCTAAAAAATAAGACCAGATATAAATATGTAGACACAAAAATTAAGTGTAAACTGATATAAAATACAATCTTTATTATTGTCAAAAGCTGGTAACTTTATTTTTTCATCATTTTTGCTATAAATAACAAACTGATTAAATAGATTTTATACTCAATTATCTTAAAAATGAATAATTTTAAATAATTATTGGTTAATAATCTCCTGGCATATTTTAGTTTCACATTATTCTCTGCTGCTGATGAGGATGATGAAGGTCACCTTGGATGGTCCTCTTGAAGAAGGCCTTGCAGGCCTCGCAGGACGCCACCCCGTAATGATAACCAGAGGCAAAGTCTCCGCAGACCAGACAGAGCCGTTTGGGCCCCATGGGGCCCATCGGGGCCTGGCAGTCCACCTGCCGGAGAACACCAGGTAGACCCAACATGAAGCCTGGAAGACGCTCCCGTCTCATTTTAGATCCTATTATACATCACAGTACATCTGTAGATATGAAAACAAATAATCCCTGAATCTAATCTGGATTACGGAGCTTCAGCAGAACCGGAAAATGTTTTGGTCCCGATGGAGCAACAGGAAACAGTTTCTACCTTCACTGAAAAACAGTCCGACTGAAACTCCACGGCGCCCCCTGCAGGACTTCCGCTGGAACTGCAACCTGCTGGAGAGTCAGGAGTCTGGTCCCCGCAGGAGGAAGAGGAGGCTGGGCTGGAGAGGAGGAAGAGCTGCGGAGAGGAGCAGAGAGGGGGGCCCCGGAAACAGGAGGGGGGGGACTGGGAGGAGGAGGAAGAGGAGGAAGAGCCCAGGGGGCTGGGAGGAAGGTGAGAGATGAAACAGGAAGTAAAAGAGGAGAAAATAAAAAACTTTATTTGTATTTGATGTAAAGAA